AATCTATCATGACATGCAGCATGCTGGACAGAAAAGCTATGTTTTCTGTTGCTTAGTTCATTCAGAATCTTTCTTTTCTTCCAGTGGGGATTGCTCTAATTCAGACACCATACGTGTATTTAGATCACCAAAATCCAATGGCAAACATTGCCTGCATGGGGACAGCTTTTTATGACATATCCCTCATGACATTTCTCCTCAGCTCCCTTCTGCTGCTGGAGAGTGGGGACGAGGGGCTGGGGTGGGGGGCTGACACCTGGGAAATGCTTCTGGAAACACAGAACCAGTTCATAGAGTTGTAGACACTTGGGAACTTCRCACCAACCACCCTCAGCTCCCTCCTGCCATGTCTCGTGTCGTGTTCCCTGCCCRCTGTTTAGGCATGGTCAGCATAAAAGATTAAATCCCACTGAGGGGAAAAAAAAGCAGCTCAGTTTTGCTTTTCTTTGCTGTTAGGAGTAGAGAGTTTTGAAAGCCCGTTTGGTTTTCTCTCCCTGTCAGAAGTTGATTTGTTCTGTAAGTGGCCTCTGTTGCAAGCATCCTGTGCTCCCTGTCCCCCTGTACATATGTAAACATAGCAGTGTACAATTCTTCAGTGTGGAGTAGAGAAATAGAGGTCATGTGGCCATCTGCCTGTACAGGTTATGGACATCAAGCAAAGTGCAAACTGCTCATAAAACGACATGCCATATTATTCGGTTTGTACGTTTCGATATAGTTTCCATTTTATTTATTTCTGTTAACATAATCTAGTTTTTTGTGCTGTAACTTAGCATCCAATAAGCAATGTATAGATGTGGTTTGATTGGCAATATGTATTTACTTTAACTTGTATTTCAAAAGCATTACTTACTCATTTAGATTATATATTGTGCAATTGTAGATGGCCTCTTACTAATGTAAAATGATTTGTAGTGGAAACATTTATATTTTTATAATAAACATAATGAAAGTATTTTTTACATACTGAAATACTGAGGTGATTGCTTGGAGGACAAAGTAAATTTATTTGATTAGTGTGATAAAATTGTAATTAAATATGGATAAATTCTGAGTGTTAAAGCATGGGTCTGGAGTGAAAGCTAGATATTACCTATATTATCTATTAAAAGAAACAAGCAGTGCAGGTTTTAACTAAACTGACCAGCATTTGTGCTAAACTGACTTACATC